TTTTTTTTTTCGTTAAGAGCAAATACGCAAGCCAGGCGGCTGAAAATGTGAATAGCGTTTATGGTCCTGATACTGTAAAAGCCAAATCGAACAGAAAAATCGAAAAAATCTATTGTCCAGGACCTAAACATTGCACAAAAAACCGTTTGAAACCATTTGAGTAAAGCTGGATACGAAAAGTAATAATTTTCTTAACTTAAGGATAGAAAGTGATCATGTTGATTTTTTGGTAGAAATTTTGGATTGACTGTCGTCCTTGAATTAGTCCAGTCATTTGACATTCAAGAGTCCCTAGATCTCTTTTGTCAGCATTATGTGTCGTCAAACACATTGAAATCGCTTTCCAATTGAGAGGGGTGTTGTGGGATTCTAACGCTATATCCGCATTGCCAACTATCTTGTTTCTTATGACGTTTAAAATTCCAAAATATTTGGGGGTACCTTTAGTGTGCTCGTAGACTTGCAGTATCCTTTCGACACTCTTTTTCCACAAACTAAACTCAGATGGTTTGTCTGAGAATTCCCTTAGTTATCTTACTGCGTCTGGGAATTTGTCTATTTTTGATAAATCATTTCTGTGTCTTTCGCCAATAGTTTGGTCTACTATCGGTATTTGGTTTGCTTCAGTCGTAATTGGTTGTAAGACATGTGCGGGATCTGGAATGGGATTGGGATCAGGTAGGTTAATGTTACATAACATAAACGTTTTCTTGGTTTTCCATATTTCTACGTTTAATTGATGTCGAGATTGATATATTATATATATATATTTTTTTTTTTTTAATAGTAAGTATAACAGTTATTTTTATACTCTCGCAACCTGTTGCTACAGAGTATAATAGTTTTGTTCACCTAACGGTTGTTTGTATCACCTAAAACTAATCGAGTTAGATATAGGGTTATATATATATAAATGATCAGGATGAAGAGACGAGTTGAAATCCGGGTTACTGTCTGTCCGTCCGTCCGTCCGTCCGTGCAAGCTCTAACTTGAGTAAAAATTGAGATATCTTTATGAAACTTGGTAGACATGTTCCTTGGTACCGTGAGACGGTTGGTATTGCAGATGGGCGTAATCGGACCACTGCCACGCCCACAAAACGCCATTAATCAAGAACAAATAACTAAGCTCCGCAATAAGATACAAGACTGTTATTTGGTACACAGGATCACATTAGGGAGGGGCATCTGCAGTTAAAACTTTTTTTTGGGCGTGGTCCAGCCTCTAATAGGTTTAATGTGCATATCTTCTAAATAGCTAATGCTATAATAACAAAATTCACTAGAAGCAAATGCTTTTCGCACTTCTATTGACGGTGTGAAAATAGTTGAAATCGGGTGGCAACTCCGCCCACTCCCCATATAACGGTACTGTTAAAAACTACTAAAAGCGCGATAAATCAAGCACTAAACACGCCAGAGACATTAAATTTTATCTCTGAGATGGTATAAGATGACTTAGAGGAACCGCGTTCAAAATTAGACAGTGGGCGTGGCACAGCCCACTTTTAGGTGAAAACCCATATCTTGAGATCTGCTCAACCGATTTCAACCAAATTCGGTGCATAACGTTCTTTTCATGTTTCTATGTCATAGTGCGAAAATGGGCAAAATCGGACTACAACCACGCTTACTTCCCATGTAACACCATTTTCAATTCCATCTGATTCTTTCACTTTCCACTATGCAAATCAGGTAACAATGATTATATCGGGGTAAAACTTTGCGTGAATAATGCAATTAAAGTATGCCACCTTGCTGCCAAAAATTGTTTAAATCGAACCAAAACTGTTTAAACCCCTAAGTACTAAATATGTGGACCCCAGTGCCTATAGTTGACCTTCTACCGAAAATATCAGTCAATCCACAAAGAAATCTCAAACGAGTATACCATTTGACTTTGCGAGAGTATATGCAAACTAACTTCATAAATATAATATTATATTACTTTTACTTCATTTAAGTTTGTTAGTTTGCTTTCTCATCATCAGATCATCTTTAAGTAGAATAAATAATACAATAATATTAATAAATTTTCTTCTTTTTCATTTATAAATTGCCAAAATTTTACCTAGATCTTGAGCTGGGTAATATTCAGATTCACTACGAAAAAGTCAAAATTTCTACTTTCATATGTCTTTATTAGCCATCGCCTTCTGAGCAAGTCACGGCTACCGAAACTTCAATCCATTGAAATAATTAGAGCGGATACTGACACATACAAATACACCGTGCAACTCATAAGGTCTATGCGTAAGAAAGTAATGAACGATCGTACGTACACGTTAACACATAATAAATTATTACAGTTACAATAATTGAAGCAAAATTAGATTCCGGGAATCAACACAGTAAATTTTTGACTAAAGTATGAAGTAAATTAATTAATTTTGTTAGATCAGTATGTAATTGTAAAAAAATTTTAACTAATACAAAATACAAAAAATAAATAATTGTGTAAAAAATTGAACTAATACAAAATAAATATTAAATAATTGTGTAAAAAAATTTTAAACTAATACAAAATTAAAACTAAATAAATTATTGCAACGTTTCATCTAAAAAAATGAAGCATATTTTTGGCAACAAGTCTACTTGCCGCAACAATGAATGTATCGGGATAAAAGTTTGAGTGAATAATGCGTTTATAGTATGCCTATAGTTGACTTTTTACCGAAAATATCGGTCAATGTGTAAGATATATAATTGAAATTCATATAATAAAATAAATAAATGAAACTCGCGATAATAGTATGTCTTTGTGTCAAAAATGGGAAGAATCGGATCAATACTTCGGTTAATATAAAATTTTGCCAACACCTGAAGTAATTTCTCGGACTTTGATCCTTGCAAGTTGCGAGATTAAAAAATGTTCGGTTACATCCGAACTTAGAACTTCCTTACTCGTTATTAAAAGATTGGATATACAAGAAATATCAATGGAAGAGTACGATTCGCTGTACAACAGCTACACAAATAACGGGTTGCTATTGGAATATTTGAAAACTTACTTACATTTCTTACCAGGCTAAGAACAATTTCCTTTTTTTTTCAAATAAAAGTAAGTGTGGTTTAGTACACAAAAGAACATTAAATAAATTTATAATTGATAAATAGACTGGGATCTCTAAAATAAGCGTTTCATTAAATGAGTTGTAAAGTGTAAAGCTTTGTGCTGGGAAAGATTCCTAGATTTAATTATCGAGAGAACACAAACTATCTCCTCAAAAGAAGAAATATGAAGACATCAATATAACACATGTATCCATAGCAGTAGGCAAACACTTTGCCTAAAGTTGTTCTAGTTGAATTAGAATTTTAATTAGCAAGAAGAAGTATTTTCTATACATTTGATTAATTTTACGATAATCTTTAATAATAAAAATAACAAGACAAAGATGAAAACTTTGCATAGCGTTATATATAGAAAACCTGTGGAAGATTATAAAGGAAAATTTGGGACCCATTAAACCACGAAATAAGCAGGAACTATGGGAAAAATTCCAAGAGGCGTATTATTCAATATCGAATTCAGTCTGTATAGCTCTAGTGGAATCTATGCTGAAAAGGTGCACTGCTGCACTCGCAAATAAAGATTTTGCAACAAAATTCTAACCTATATGCATTTTTAGTTATAATAGTCTATTTTCACGAGTTTTGGTTCCATGATTCTATTTAATTGTCAATTGAAGTTGACGTGACAGTTCCTTTAAAAGTTGCCTGCTGATAATACTTAAATTTATATTAAAATTATTATTTTTTTTTTTAAATTTTATGAACTATAAAAATAATTGTTTCCTCCTAAGAACTGTGGTATTACTTTTTGTTTAGCAAATAGTTGTGAATACAATTTTAATTTTATTTTATTCTCAGTAACTGTATATATTTAAATTCCGAGTGACTGTCTGTCTGTCCTTGCAAACGATAACTTGAGTAGAAACTGAGATATTGTTCCCACAAAAAGCTATTTATTGAAGACATATAAAGTGCCTTAACTAAGCTCTACAATAAGATACAAAATCTTTTAGTACAGATGAACGCTAACTTCGATACGTGATAACTACGAACACTTCCCATATAACGGTTATGTTGGAAATCGCGTTGGACCGGGTAACAAAATTGGAAAATGGGCGTAGCACCACACACCTTTAGATGAAATCCTAAATCTTAGGAACGACTCAAATTTGGTGTGTAGCATTACTCAGTCATTTTACATTGTGAAAATAGGTGAAATCGGAGTATAAAATTTTAAATTCAATCTAATTCTTCCATTTTGCAGGTTATAAATCGAGAATTATTAACGTTATTCTAATAAAACTGTGCAAGAATATAGTTCCTTTAGCGGACTATAACTTTTCAAAACCCCAGGTACCGATTGTGTGGACCCCTGTGCCTATGGCTGACTTTTTATCGAAAATATCGGTTAATCTGTGAAGTCTAGTATTGAAATTCGGAGAGTATATATTTATTATAACAGCATGCCCTTGCCCATAATAATGATATGTCGAAATACCAAATCTGGATAAAATCAGATCAATATATCCTATACTAGCTCCCATAAACCCTTTAAACTTGCGTATATGGCCGTCAATATGTAAATATCTTATCAAAATTAGGTGAACATATAAATTGATATACTATAGTTTAATGTCAAAAATGTGTGAAATCGATTCATGAATTACTCCCATATACTACAATACAAATGGTGATTTTCGTAAGTCAAACAGACTATATACCCAATGTGTAGGTCAGTGTGTGAATTACCTTTATGCTATATCTAATTTTAGTTATTTAATATACTAAATATTTCGGGAAAGCATCATTATGTGTAATTTTTGCCCACCCAGTTCGCTGTTTCTTCATTCGAGTAATGAGGAGTGGTTCTTGGAAAATTCTGCGATTTTTGAGTAATAACGTAGATTCAAAAACAAAAATAAATTTTAATCAATAATTAACTATACCACTCTTATAAATAATTTCGTTTTGACACCTTATTTAAGATTCGAATGGACCGCATTGTAATAGAACATCTACTTAGAAGAGGATATTATGAAACGGCAGAGTGCCTTGCAAGGAAGTCTGATATACGAAGTTTAACTAATCTTGGTGAGTAAAAAGTGTGCGATCGTCATTAAACCTTTTATTTATTAGTTACTTAAATATAAAAATTATGTGATGTGTTAATCCATAATATCGGACCAAATTTGGCTCGAACTGGTCCATTTCAACTGCGCGAATTATATATTATATTTAATTTTGTGCCCACTAGTTATATATCAAGAAAACAACTTAATTTTTATCTTACTTCAATCAGACTGCCTCTCGCATCAGATTGGCAAATCGAGCTTGCTGCTATGTCCGGCTGTACCGCACATTCCAGCAAGCTCAAAATATGCTGAGTCTGCTGTTGGGGTCACGTATTGGCGGATCACGCGATGTGGTGCAGTGCATGTCGTCGTTATACATAACTCCCCCAGGGCCACTTTGATCATTTTAAAACTTACATTCTTATATTTATTTCCTTAAGATGAGAATAACGATAGTTATACTTATTAATGTAATTATAATTACGGTGGCGCGAATGCCATATGTTATATTCTTATGATATTTTAACTTTGCTATTCCTTTCTTGTAATTATTTTTTAACATGATGTTTCTTTCAACACAAGTCTGATTGAGACTTTCATTATGTGCATTCTTTATTATTAAGGTATCATCACTTATTTCTTGAATTAGTGATCTATTATTATACATAAATTTACAATCATCAGAAAAGATACAATTCTTGCTCAATTTTAATTTCTTAAATTCAGTATTTTCCTTTTTTTTTATATACTATTAAAATTAATTCATCTTGATTTATTTGCAAGTTTTGTTTATTTGGTAATGGCGTAATTAATTTTACATTTTCTTTAAATACATTGGCCCGTGAATTAGCATTTTCTTTTAATGTTTCACCATTATGTACTATTATGCTTAACCTCTTATCCTCCACTTCGGTGCCTAACTTCTCTGCTTTAGCTAATATATGTTGCCTCTTTATGTTTGCTACATGAATGTTTTGCAGGATGGTAATTCGGAAATACGGTTCGTCCTTGTGTCGTACTCGTTTGTAGTTTTTTACTGGCCTTGACGATCTCAGTTCTTCGTAGTCCTCTCTATACCTATTTCTTTCTTGTATTATATTGTTTTTTTTTTCAAATGGTTGAGTAATAATTACAAGCATTTAAGAACTGTATCAACTGTTCAGCCCTGAATTCATTATCCATTATGATTTCTTTTTGGTTTTCCAAATTTCGCGAAATGTTCAATTATAACAGCCTTCTTTGCCCTAAAATTTCTATCACTTAAGCTGTATGCTGCGATTTTTGTCAGTTTGTCAATAACTGTGACAAAAGACTGCTTTTTGAAATGAAAAATGTCTATATGTACTATTTCATTTTTATCTCTTGGTGTTTCTGTTATTTAATCTTTGGTCTTATCGGTTTCCCATCATATTTAACCCTTTCGCACTTTTCACAGTTATTTATTATTAACTGTATGGGATTTTTGAATTTGGGATAGTATATTTTGTCTTTAAGTGTAAGGTTCGTTTATTCCGCTATGCATTGATTCATTATTATGGTAAAGTGAGATTTGCTTATGTAAATATTCTTTGTTTTTATTTCTGTTGCTCTTTTTGTACATTTGACCAATTTTAAATTATTATCATGTGAAAACATCAAAATCATTAATATCTGAATTTTACGATAATCAAATTTAGTGACTTCTGAGAATATGCCGACACACCCTTTTCCTTTAATTTGCCGCCTTAACACCTCTTTTATTATGTACTCTTCCTCCATTGGGTTGATCTCTATCATCTTTCTTCCATGGAGTCTCTGCAATTTTTGGGCTGTACGTTAATATGATTTGAATTTTATGTTTTTCACTATTTCTTTCTTGATTACAAAGGGTTCTAGCAGTTCTTCTTCTGCAGAATGTACTGTATCCGACATTTTTAAATTTGATTCATCGTCGTTCCCTTCTGTTATTTTAGGCGAATTCTCAATTCGACTTAGGAAGTCCGCTGCTACGTTATCTTTACCCTTTACATACTCTATTTCGTAATTGTACTCCTGGAGTTTTAGAAACCACCTTTGATGGCGTGGTGCAAATTCTTTCCCTTTATACTTGTTGTTTAGATACTTAATCAGTGATCAGTTACTCTCTTAAATTTTGCTCCGTATATGTATGGTATAAAAAAAGTCACTGCATATATGATTACAAGGAATTCCTTGTCTGTCGTCGCATATTTCTGCTCATGATTGTTTAATGTTCTTCAGATAAAGTACAAGTATATTGGTTGGCCTTGCTGGGACAGATCCAATAGCGTAAATATTGAAGATCTCTCGTATTTATTTTGTTATCTTTCTTTAAATATTTTATCATTGGGTAAGCTATTCTAGAGTAATTTTTAATAAACTTTCTACAATAGCCTGTGGTCCCTAAAACCCTTTTAAATGTCTTTCTGTTGTTAGAATTGGTAATTTTTGTATGGCAAAAATTTTTTCCGGGTTGGGCTTAATTCCGTCTTTAGTCAAGACGTGGTTTTTTTTTTTTAAACTACACTTGTTTGCCTGGATTTTTAGGTTATTTTCCTGAAGCTTTGAAATAATGTTTCCTAGTCAATGTATGTGTTCTTCTAGTGACGTAAAAAATATTATATGTCATCTAGATAGACTACACATATTTTATTAATATGTTCCCTTAAGCTTGACACCATTTTTCACTACCATTTCTTTGTTATCAATGTTTATCGTTTTTACATTTTTATACTCTCGCAACATGTTGCTACAGAGTATAATGGTTTTGTTCATCTAACGGTTGTTTGTATCACCTAAAACTAATTGAGTTAGATCCCCCCCTAATAGATTTAATGTGCATATCTCCTAAACCACCAAAACTATAATATCAAAATTCACTGCGAACAAATGTTTTTAGCACCTTTATTGACAGTGTGAATTCGGGTAAAAACCCCGCCCACTCCCCATATAACGGTACTGTTAAAAACTACTAAAAGCGCTTATTAATTTAGCTCTGGGATGTTATGAGATGACTTTATAGGAACCGACTTCAAAATTAGACAGTGGGCGTGGCACCGTCCACTTTTCGGTGAAAACCCATATCTTGGGATCGGCTTGACCGATTTCAACCAAATTCGGTACATAACATTCTTCCTATATTACTATGTTATAGTGCCAAATGAGCGAAATTGGATTACAACTATGCCAATTTCCCGAATAACACCATTTTAAATTCCATCTGATTCTTTCACCTGCCACTATGCAAATCAAGCAACAATGATTGTATCGGGGTAATGCGTTTATAGTATGCCACCTTGTGACCAAAAATTGTCTAAATCGAACTAAAACTGTTCAAGCCCCTAGGTACTGAATATGTGGACCCCAGTGCCTATAGTTGACTTTTTAGGTCAGTGTGTAAGATATATATTTGAAATTCATATAATAAAATAAATAAATGAAACTCTCGTTAATAGTATGTCTTTGTGTCAAAAATGGGAAGAATCGGATCAATACTTCCTTCAATATAAAACAAACAACCTGAAGTAATTTCTCGAGCTTTGGTCCTTGCAAGTTGCGAGAGTATAAAATGTTCGGTTACACCCGAACTTAGAACGTCCTTACTTGTTAAATGTAAAATCATTCCCCAATATAAGATCGTATGGCTTGTTAAAATCCATTTTTAACCATCGCATTCTGGCATTTTGAGGTTATCTAAATTGTAGTGGGCATGGTGTCTTAACCCTTTCGTTCATCGCCCTTATTTCTCCATTCAATGTAGTAATTATTGTTTTATTTTTTTCTAATACTGATAAATTATACTTTTCGAAACTGGCTCTTTTCATTATGCTTATGGTAGAGCCTGGATCTACTAATGCACACCATTTCTTATTACATTTGAAAAAATAAGTCAGTTACATTATTTTCAAGTGTGTTAAAATTCGTTATATTTCAACATCAACTTTTTCCTATATGCGTTGCCGTCCTATTTTTACCTTCATTCTCATTTATATTCTTCGATTGCGCAGACTTTTACGCATTTGACCTTGCTGACAACAATTGAAACAACGAAACTTTTCCGGATAGGACTTTTGTCATTCTTTTTCTGTTGGAAATTTTTTGAATACTTGGCATTGTCATTAGATTCTTTAATGCAGTCAAATTTGACATCCTGCAACAACAAACTATTAACGCAGTCGATGGTTAACCTCGCTTTCGAATTTGCCACAGCCATAACGAATGCTTGATACTCATTAGGCAACCCAACAAGCAATAATGTTGCAACCAATTCATCACCTAGACCTGCATTTATTGACGTCATGACCAACTTATTCACATAATCCTGTACGGATTGAAACTGCACCGGTTTTACCTGCACAAGCTTTTTCAAAAGCTCTACCTTGTGAGTTAAACCACTGTCTTCATACGCTGCCATTAACGAATCTCATGCATTCTTTGATGTTACTGCATTTGCTATATGCGAAAAATTACTCGGCTCCACCATGAGCGTAATCACCGCCAGTACACGTTCATAACTTTGACCTGTCTATTCTTTTATATATAGTGCAACGGAATAGAAGTTACTGTTTCTTTCTAATATTAAATTTGTTTCTTAATACCTGACTATCTAGTCTAATACTCGATTCCTGGTCTAACATGTCCTTTACCTCGTAATAAGGCTGCAGTATCTTTGTAAGGTTGGTCATGTTAAATAGGCAGTATTCACGTTGATATAAATGTGCGGTTTCCTATGTTGTTGTTGTAGTGACAGAATTCTGCCGAGTTGACAGGCCTAGGCCGGATAAAACTCCGGGACCGTTCCGGTTACGTAGACCCGACTGTCACGGGAACGGACGAATTTTATATCTTTCAGGTCGGTTACAAGTTGACATACTATGACTATGAGTTGAAGTAGGTTGTGCTGTATTATTGGCTTTATTGTTGCGTAAGTTATTTTTGCGGAGACTCCCCTCCAGTTGCCAAAATTGTGTCCTCGCGATTTTATTTTACTGTGTGTTTGGAGTATCGGGGTAGATATTTGTC